CAGACAAGTCCTAAGAAAGCAGGTGAGAGCCCATGAGTGTCCTGTGGGCTGAGCAAGGCCCAGGTGGGCCCAGTCGAACACAGACAGCTCCTGGGTCGGGTGCAGGGTCAGTGCAGGGTCAGGGTCTACCTTGTATGCAACTCGAGCCGGGCATTTCTTCCCCAGCCCCAGAGGTGGGGACATGTGTTTCAGCATCTCAAACATGTCATTGTAACTGATGCGCCCACTGGAAACCCATTCCAGAGGCCAGGCACAGTGGGGTGGTCCACAGGAGACACACGGCAGGAGGGGTAGAGCGGGGAGCGGGCAGGGGGAGGAAGCAAACAAGAAAACAGATCCAGTTAACCAAAGTGTTGGGTAAATATCCCAAATCAAAACAGGTAAAATGAGGGATTCTCTGCTTGACCTGACCCTTGCTTGCCCCCACCCCCAGCCTCACCTCCTCACGGCAGCCCAACGCAGGGCAGCGGGCAGGGTGATGTCTGAGCTAATGAACATGGAGGGGGTGAGGAAGGGCTGCATCGGGGCGGCTTTGGGTTATAAATTTATGACTTTACTCTTTTAGAACCACAGACAAAGCCAAATCAGAAAGAGCTAGTTCACCATGCAGGAAGCACTGGCCAGGCTATGTAGAGATAGGGCTGCAGCTGAGAGCCACAACAGCAACAGCAACTGTCAACTGTCTTAAAAGTCAGATCAGATTTGCTTCCAAATAAGGCCAGAGGGTAAGGTGGAGAGAAATCTACAGCAGACCAGAAAACTAGAGGGAGCCCTGAAGCTCCCTAGAAGGCTGAACTTGAAGATAGGGCAAGTCAGCTCCAAGCCCAGAGACGCCCGAGGCCAGCCCAGGGCAGGGCTGCTGCTGGGGTCAGGGCTGGATGGGAAGGAGACTGCAGGAAGGGAGGAGCTGAGTGGATGTGGCCTGGTGCCACTTGTGCCTCTGACAGCACAGGTTGGGAACAACAGGTAGGATGCACCCTTTGTGGGACCTGGAACCCAAGGCGGGGGACTCAGGGTAGAATCTGGGAGCTGGTGAAGAATATTCCCTAGTAGAGGGGCTATGGCATCCTACTACCCCAGAGCACCTGCCTGTGGGCTTGGGGATCTCGGAGACACAGCAGAGTCAAGCCTTTCCCTGGAAGGCAGATCTGCCCAGACCTTGCCCTTCGCTCACAGTTCCAGACCGGGGTAGGGGGGTGGGGGGCGGATTCTTGCTGGGCTGAGAACATCAATCTAGAAGCGACGCAGGAGAGCTCCTCTTTGCCCCTGACGCCTGTCCCCACCCTTTCCTACCCCCCAGGGACCTGGACACCTCTTCTGACCCATAAGGACAGCTGCTCCTGGTTTATTTGCCCCCACATACTCCTCCTCTGGTCCCTCAGCCTCTGGCCTGTCTGACCATCAGCCCATCCATAAGAATCTGCAGGAAAGCTTGGGGTGATGACTGGTTCCTTGGTAAAAGGCAGGACCTGTCTTACCCTCATGCCCCCAGCCAGCTGGTCCTAGCAGACACAGCCTAGCCAGGACAGAAATCTCCCTGGGCACTGTCTGAAGGCTGCCTTCCCCCAGCCAGCTGGTGGAGTAGGGAGATAAGACAGGGGACCAAAGCATCCAGGACACTGGAGTGTGGGGCAGGGCAGGACAGAGGAAAGAGAAGGTGAGGTGTTGTCATTCCCAAACAAGGCAGGAAGTGTGTGCAGTGTTTGCGGTTCGGGCAGGGAAGTATGTCAGATGGAGGCTCTGAAGTTGCAAACCTTGTAGGCCAACCTACGAGGGCAGTTCTTTCCTAAGCCAACGGGTGGCGCAATACAACGCAACAAACTGTACATATCCTTATAATGAACCTGGCAACTGGAAAGGAAATGTCACAGGTTATGGCAATAAGGCATGATGGAGCCCGTCCCATCCACCCACCCAGCCTGCGATGGGAAGATGAGCTATGAGCAGTTGTGGTGGTGGAGGTGAGAGGTATGGCTAGACAGGCCACTCCCTGCTGGGGACTATGACCTAGTATACCCCAGAAGGGGTATAAACCCAAAGATAATCCCTAGAAGTGAAGGTAGGCAGGAAACACTCAGAAAGGAGCAACTGTATGTTCTGTAGAGGCAGAATACACACCTACACCCACAGTCCCACCCCAAACCCCCACTCTGTACACTGTGCCATGCCTGTCCTTGATCAGTCTCACTTCAGCTTGTCCATGCCTTTGTTCTACCTGTTCCCTAACTCTCTGAGCACCAGAGGTCCTCTCCATATGTCTCCCTCTGACCCTGGCTCTCACTATAATGATGTACCCCCACCCATTTTTCCAACACAGCAACCCCATTCAGAGGTATACACTTATATGCCTCTTAATTGTTCCCATCTCCCTGGACATATTAGTGCTCCCTTGGAATTTATTGGCCCAGTCTACTAAGCCTCCTCCCAGGGATGACACCCCCGGGTCATCACTGATACTTCTTTCCTCCTATACTGCTATCCTCAGTTGCAAGTCTTGTCAAATCTACTTCAGGAAAAGGTGCTCCACATGAGCCAGACCCATATCTGGCTAACCTTGTTGGGCCCTAGGGACCATCATAAGGGGGCTGGACATGTAGGACCCCTGAGCCTCAAGACGGCCTAACCATCAAATCCATCAGATGATGAAGGTGGAAAAGTGTGGATACAGTATTATTAATCCCTGATTCAAAAGCTTTCCCAGTCTATCAACAAAAATCAAAGCTACTCAGTTAACCACAATTTCAAGGTCTTTCTCAGTTTCTAGTTTTTTTGATGATATTTTGTTATTTTTATTTTGGGTGTATGAATGTGCCTGCATGTGTGTAAGTGCCACTGTGTCGTACCATGCCCACAAAGGTCAGAAGAGAGCGTTGGATTCCCCTGGAACTGGAGTAACAGGTGATTCTTAGCCACTATGTGGGTACTGGGAATTGAACTGGGGACCTCTGCCTTCCTAGCACACGCATGTTCACACAATGCACACAAGACACATAACCACCCTAACATGTGAATACATGCATGCAATTACACATATGCACACAACATACATGTGCACTTACCATGTGCACTTACCACAGATACACAGGTATGTACATAAACTGTACATAAACAGTTCCCTTACACACACACTGAGATAAACTCATGGGTACACAAAACATGTGCATGTGTACATGTTATGCATGTGCCTGTGTGTACATGTGTGCATAATGTACATATATGTACTGCAACATGTGCATATGCATAGTGCACCTAGGCTCACACACCAATGTATATATATGTTCATATACATCCATGTTTGTACACATACATACATACATACACAAATGTTGGAAAGTTTGACAGTTTGGGTGTGGTTTCAAATTTTCTCTCAAAGTAGGAGGAAATCATGTGGTCACATGAGAAATAAACTCAACCAACTGCCAGGGTCACAGTGACCTCTGGTCTGTCCAGACATAGGACCTGCTTGGCTGCACTGTCAAGTCACCTATCTACTGAACTGTTCCTTTTTTTTTTTTTTTTTTTTTTATGCTCTGGTCTGTCCCGACATAGGGCCTTCTTGGGTGCCCTGTTAAAGCCCCCTTTTACTGAACTTTTCCTTTTTTTTTTTTTTTTTTTGAGACAGGGTTTCCCTGCAGCCTCAGCTGGCCTAGAACTCACTATGCAGACCAAGCTGGTCTCCATCTCACAGAGATATGCCTGCCTCTGCTTCCTGAGTGTTGGGATTGAAGGAATACATTACCACATTCGGCCTCTCTTAAGTATTCTTGAGAGAAACCAGCATCGGCCTCAAAGCACACAGAAATAGAGTTGTGCATGTGTTGCTCACAGGTGCCCTTGCATTTCAGGCTGGTTGGACTTATGTGTCATTTGGCATGTGTCACCTCTGATGCAAAATTTATGTTTGGCTGTCTCTTCTTCAACTGCCTGTGCCTTACAGGGCCCCTGGCTCTCAAACTCTTGAATTAGGAAACAGTCTGAACGCTCACTGTGCATTATCACAAAGCTGCTATCAGTGAAAGTCTACTTGCTAAGCATTACTATGCACACTACTCCCACTCTTGCTTGAGACTGACTGTAAGAACTAGGTGTACAACTCATAAAGACTAAGGAGACGCTGTTCTTTCACTGGAGGCCTTCATTGTTCGGTGCAAATTGCATCCTATAGAGCATCTATTTTTTGAGCACCTATTCCTTTTGGGAAAATGTTCTAGAAACAGCAGTGACTCTTCAAGTCACAGTCAGGATAATCTTCTGGGAGTGCTCCTGAATCATGTTGCAGTTAGAGTTTCTCCTGCCCTTTTCTTGACAAAGTCCAGTCTCCCCACTGCCCCCCAGTGACCTTCCTGACAACAGACCCAAAGTGCTATCCTTGAGCCTATGCATTCCAGTAAGAGTCCTGGGCATTGCAGGGCAAACATGTGGATGTATCAGATATGAGGGGGCTCTACAAAGCCCCCAAAATGGTCAAGTACACACTCAATAACAACAAAACTGCCCTGCTGCTACACTACGTAAAAACTAAAAATTTCTCATAGAAATGGAGAACACAGAGATGCTGTAGGTTCAAAATAGCCTTAACAGAAGAGACTTATGTCCCAGGCCCCGAATGCAATGTAAGACATGCCAGAACTATGACAACTTCATGAAGCAGCTTGGGATGTGGGCTGTGATGGGGCAAGTACTCTGGGGAGGCTGAAGGACAGAGGCCAGGGGAGCCGGGCCCAGCAGGAAAAAGAAAGCCCAGCCAGCCCCCAAGATCTCTGGGCTTATTGCGCACCCTCACACTGAGCTTCCAGTTAAGGAAAAGGATGCAGAGCCCAAGGAGCTTCCTGAGGAGCTTGTCCCCAGCCATCAGTCTGACCACAGTCTCTAGTTCACCAGAAATCTGAGCATATCCTGCCTGACTTTATCACCCAGGCTTTCTATCAGAAACCTGACCTCATTCTCCAGGCTATCCCACAGCGAAGTGCTAAACACAGAGCTGTAAAAAGTAGACAAAGGAAGGTGGGGAGCTGCATCCACCTGCAGTCTTCTTGTCCATCCCTAGGACACAGGAAGTGAACAGTCACCCATTCAACAAAAACTGTTCATTCATACCACAGTCCTTCCAACAACTGTAGTGAGGTAAGAGGAGACCTGTATATATCTTACCCAGTAGCCAGTTTTCTCACCCCCTCCATCTCCTACATACTACCCCACAGGAAGCAGCACTCAGCAACTACTGAGCAAGTGAATAAGTAAATGAGCAAGTGAACAAATGAAAAAGGAATGTGTGAGTATGATGGTTAATACTGATTGTCAACTAGAAAGCATCAAAAATCACCAAGGAAGCAAACCTCTGAGCTGTCTGTGAGAGAATTTCTAGGCTGGACTGAGGTAGGAAGACCCACCCTAAATGTAGGTAACACTGTTCCAAGGGCTGGGGTCCCGGATGGAATAAAAAGGGAAATGTGAGCTTAACTTCAGCCTTCATCTCTGGTTCCTGATTGTGACTAGCTGCCTAATCATGGACCATATCCCTTCTTAAGCTGTAAGCCAAAACCATTCTTCCCTAAAGTTGCTTTTTGTCAGGTATTTGATCACAGAATTCAGAAAAGTAACTAATAAAATGAGCAAGTGAACAAATCAATCAGTGAGTGAGAGAAGATGAAGGAATGTAAGTAAATGAATAAGCAATGAAAGTATCAATTGAATAAGTAGGTGAAGGAACAGACAGGTGAACAGGTGGAGAGCACCTACTGCCCTGTTTGCCTACCTTTCTGAATGTGGTCTCTGCCCTGGAGGTTCAGGATGACATGGATGTGCAGTGCTCTCTATAGAATATGGCTTCAAGCAACTTTACCTTTTGACCCCAAATCACTCCATGAGGTCCTTGCTATCTGGAAACAAATCACCCTTCCCTTATATAGCACAGTAATTCTTTCCAGCCCAATTAAAGGGTCTGAAACACACTAGGGCCTTTCTAGTTCTTCTGATTTTAATAGAAGTCCATCCAGTGTCTACCATATTCAATAGGGCCTGGGAACAGAGGGACACATTGGTTCAAGTCCCCAAGACAGATCACAAAGAAGGAAACCCCTGAGTCCATCAAGACAGTATCTTAAGACCCACATTATGGGAGGTGGGGCTATAACCCAGTTGGTATAGAGCTTGCCTAACCTGCACAAGCTCTGGGTTCAATCCCTGGCACCTAAAAAAAATCACATTAAGTTTTCCTTCAAAGTCCTCTGAGAATTACAGGGGTATATAGCCACACTGTCTCCACACCCTCCCCCACTGAGCCTCCATTACTCCTCACAAGACAGGCCTTGGGAAAAGGAAGGCCACTCCTGTGCACAGAGTTTGGAAACTTTCCCTGACCCCCAGGCATAGGCAGTCTCCTGAGGGCCGCAGTGAAGGTCTCAAAGACTGTGTCTCTGTCCTAGAGTTGCACCAAGGCATAGCGACTAAAAAGGAAAGTATCACTGAAAGGGGAAACCAGTGCCACCCTACATGGAATGGGGCAAATCCCTGGGTCCAGACCAACACCTGAGGGAAAAACTCACATGAAACTATCAAGACCACCCTGGCCCTGTCCTGCACCATGAATAATGACATCCCTCAGGACCACAGAGCACTGGGGCTCACTCACCACGCAGCTGGGTCGTACTCAGCCCAGACACGAATGAATTCATCCAGGTGGTGAGGCCCTAGGATGGAAGAGTCCCGAGTGAGGTACTCAAAATTGTCCATGATCACAGCAACGAAGAGGTTCAACATCTGCAGGATGGGAAGGAAAGGAAGCTGACACAAAAACCTCAGTAATGCCTCAGTAATGAGTGCTCCAACTTCAACTTTCAATCACAGTCTGAGCGAAGAGCTATCTAGACAGCAGAGGTCACTCTGACTTGAACAGGAAAGACCTGCTGCCCCACAGGCCTCTTTGCACTGGGACTTCTAAGGTCTCCTCAGTCCCCAGGTTTCTTAATCCCACATGTTTAATTCCAATATTTACTCCTCTGAAACCTCTGCTTTCTACCTAATTCAGACTCCATAATCTCTTATCCATGTTTTCTCTAACATCCAGGTAGATGTGAACAGGTTATGATGGCCACTGTCCTCCCACTCAGACCAGTCTTCTGTGGAAGTGGTAACCTTGGAGTTAGTAGCTTGGAAACTGCCAACTCACAGCTTGGGTTGTTTATTATTTGCTTTTCCTAATCAAGTTGAAATTAATGTAATACAACTCATAGTTTCAATATGTAATTTAATGCTGTCCCATTATAGGTACAAACCAATCTTATTTGTTGATGGACATTTGCATCATTTCCATCTTTTGGCCAAGGTGATTAATCTTTCTGTAAACGCTGATACTGAAATTCCTGTGCAAACATATCTTGTCATTTCTCTTGCTTGTATACCTAGGAGCGGCACTGCTGGGCCACATGGAAACGTTATAATTTTTTTTAGGGTAACTGCCAAACTTCTCAATAGCAGCCGCTGCTGCATTTCCATCTCTCCACCAGGAATGAATGTTCCTAGTTCTCTGCATCTGTGCCCTTACTCCCTATTTTCAATTTTAAACACGTATCATTAGAACTATCATACTGGGTGTAAAGTACTACTTCTTTGTGATTTTGACTTGCATTTCCATAATGAACAAAGATTCTGAGTATCTTTTCATATAATTGTTGGCTATCTGTACATCTTCTTTGGACAAATATCTACTCTGTAAATATTTGCTCATTTTATAAAATATTTTATTATTTTATGTGTATGCGTGTATTGCTTGCATGTAGATAAGTGCACTCATGTCATGCAATGCCCACAGAAGACAGAAGAGGCTGTCAGATCCCCTGGAATTGGAGTTCTGGACAGTTATTAGTTGCCATGTGGGTGCTGGGATTCAAACCTGGGTCTCCTGCAAGAATAGTCAGTGTTCTTCACCACTGAGCCATCTCTCCAGCCCCTTTGCTCATTTTTTAAAAAGTTATTTTGCTGTTGTTGAGTTGTAAGAGTTCAAAAATAACTTTCTTTGGTTTGGTTGGTTTTTACCTGCTTGGGGACAGGGTCTCACTAGATAGCACAGTTTCGTCTAGAACCCACAATCCTCCTGCCTCCACCTCTTAGTGCTGGCATTACAGGCATGTGCCACTACATCGGCCATAAGAACTCTTAAAATGCTGGATTTAATCCATTATCAGACGTTGTGAATTACAAATATTTTTCCCAACCTATAGATTGTATTTCCACATATTTGATACTGTGTTGAAAATTTGCCTATTATATTTTAACAATTTTAGCTCTTCTAGCTAGGCCTTTGATTACTTAATTTTTATATCAAGTGAAGTAGAAATTAAACTCTATTCTTTCATATTGAAATTACCCAGTTCCCACACACATACACCAACTTGCCTCTACCAACTGCATTATCACTAAAGGACAGAAAATTCTTTCCTGATGTGCACCCTTGTCAAAAATTAACTGGCCAGACTATAGGCAGAGCTATTGTTCTGCCAGCCCACTGCCCCTTGTAGTATGTTCAATAAACCTATTCCATTAAATAAAAAATATGTGCTCACTTCAGCAGCACATATACTAAATTTGGAACAACACAGAGATTAGCATGACCCTTGTGCAAAGATGACACAAATTCATGAAACATCCCATATTTTTGTTAATATGCTGGATGAATGTTATTTTGCCATTTGCTGTCAGGGTTCAATAAACCCCTGTCCAACTAAAAAAACAAACAAACAAAAAAAAAACCATAAAAACCAATTGGCCATAGGTGTTTGGGTCTATTTCTAAAGTCTTGATTCTCTTCACTGGCTTACATGTTTCTTTATGCCAACATTCTTTTGTTTTGTTTCAAACAGGGTCTCATGGCCCAGGCTGGCCTTGAACTTGCTCTGTAACAGAGGAATACCTTGGACATCTGATCTTCCTCTGGCCTGAGTGCTGGGTGTGTACCACCACACCCAGTTTATGTTGTGCTGAGGATCAAACCTAGTGTATTGTGCATGCTACACATGGATTCTACCAACTGATTTACATCTCCAGCTCCTTATTAAAATAGTTTGAAATTGTGGAAGGTGATTCCTTCAACTTTGTTTTTCAAGAGTGTTTTGGCTATTTCCTGGCAATTGAGCATTAATTTGAGGATCTGCTTCTCCATTTCTGCCCATTCCCCAAAAGACACTGGGATTTTGATTTATTGCATTTAATCAATACATCACTTGGGGAAGTATGGCCACTGTAATAATACCAACTTTTCCCACTTCATGAATATGAGCTATTTCCATTTAATTAAGTTTTCTTTGATTTCTTGTCATTACTGTCTATAGTTTTCATTGAATAAATTTCTCACTTCTTTGTTTATTTAATTACTAGTTATTTTATTCTTTTGGATGTCACTGGGAATGAAACAACTTTTTAAATTTCCTTTTCAGATCATTCGTTGCTGGTGAATAGGAACACCACAGGTTTTTGTTGATTCTATACCCTGAAACTGCTGACTTTATTAATAACTCTAGTCTTATTTTTTATCTGCAGACATTCTGTTGTGTTTTCTATGTATAAAATAATATTATCTGAAAACAGAGGCTGCTTTCAGGCAAGCAAGCACAAGGATCAGCTTAGGATTTAGTATGTTGTTAGTTTTCTCTCAGGATTTGAGGCTTTCATTTCTCATGTCATCTTTGGCCATGGTATAACAATGCTGGCTATGTAGAATATGTTCTCTCCTTTTCTGTTTTTGGGACAAGTCTGAGTACTAATTCTTTTATTATTCTACTTATTACTGTAGTGAAATATACATAGCAAGACCTTAATTTCCAACCACTCTAAATGCAGGTTTAAGCACACTCAGCTTGTTGTTGGACTGTCACTACCACCAGTCTCCAGAGTTCTCTCAAACTTCTGTAAATGTAACCCCATCCCCACTCAACACTATCTCCATGTTCCTCTTTTCTCATCCGCCATTCTAGTTCCAATCTCTGTGAATACCAAGGGATGTGATATTCATTGAATCACAGCATTTTCTGACCAGCTGCTTCCTTTACTTCAGTCCTGTGGATCAAACCCAGGGCTTTGCGCATGCCAGGAAAGCACTCTAGCACTGAGCTACACCCCTAGCTCTTACTTTTTTGAGACAGGGCCTCCTATGCTGCTCAGGTTGGCCTTAAACTCATAATGTAGCCCAGGCTAGCCTGAAACTTGTGATGATTCTGCCTTTGCCTCCCAAGTGCTGGAATTACAGGAGTGAGCCACCACACCTGGCAGACTAACTTACTTCTTTGATACTTCAATGACTTCAATGACTATACCTCAATGACTATAATGCCTAATGTCCTTATTTTACAAGCATGTATCAGAAATTTCTTCCTTTTGAAGTGTGAATAATATTCCATTATATGCTCATACCACATTTTTCTCATTGATTTATCTGCTGATGGAAACCATGACTGCTTCTTCCTTTTGGCCGTTGTGATAATGCTCCTGGCTGAGGCCCTGCTTTCAGCTCTTTCGGGTGTTCTCCCAAAATGGATCTTATGGGTTTCACATTGTGGTCCATTTAATTTTGGAGGGTCTTAGCGTCTTCCACAGCAGCTGCATCATTTTACATTCTTACTACTAGAGCACAAGGGTTTCTTTCCCAGTGTCATGGCATTTTCTCTTTCTTTTTTGAGAAATGTTAAGAGTGGCAATCCTAAGGAGTGGAACGTGGGATCTTATTATGGTTTAGATTTGCATTTCCTTGACAATGATGATTTCTTTTCATGTGTTTATTGGTCATTTTCCTCAGAGAATATCTACCAAGTCCTTTACCCATTTCTTAACTGGGTTGTTAGATTTTTGTTGTTGAGTTATACAAGTGTTTAGCACATTATTACTACCTTATCATAATTATGACTTGCAATTTCTTGGAATGCCTCTTTATTTTATTGACAGTGTCCTTCACTGTATAAGAATTTTTAACTATGAGTAGTCCAATTATCTATTTGTTTTACTGCTGTGATTTTGGTGTCAAGTCTCAGTCTCATTTGCTAAATATAAGGCTGTGAACTTGTACACCTGTTTTCTTTTAAGAGTTTGCTATTTGGGCCATATACTTTTTGGAAAAAGAGTTTTATAGTCCTATTTATTTTACTTTTTAAATTTTTACTTACTTATTTTTACTTTATGTTTATGAGTGCTTTGCCTGCATGTAGAAATGCACTACTGCATGTATGAGTACAATGCCCATAGAGGTCAGAAGAAGAAATTGGATCCCTTGGAACTGGAGTTACAGCTGGTTGTTAGTTGACATGTGGGTGTTGGAAATTGAACCCAGGTCCTCTGCAAGAGCAGCCAGTGCTCTTAACCAATGGGCCATCTCTCCAGCCTCAAGAGTCTTATAGTTTTATTTCTTACAATTAAGCCTTTGACTACTTTTAAGTTAATGTTTGTGTACAGTATGAGGTAGGAGGCAACTTCTTACTTTTGCATGTGGATATCCAGTTTTCCAAACACTATTTGTTGAATGCTGTCCTTTCACAACTAAGTTGTCTTAAGCTTTTCTTTTTTGAGAAGGTTTTTGGTTACTGAGTCAAGCTTCTCCCTTCTTGAGTCAGGTATAGAATTTGTGCACTTCTAGGAATTTGTCTATTTCAGCAGCTTGGGTTCTACATACAGGATATTTAACACGTCTAAGTCTCCGTCTCTTCATTGTGATAATGATAATCTTAGGCTGAAAGACTGGAATACTAAATACATCAGCAGATTGTCATCACCAACTTCACTTCCTATTATTCTGTCAGTGCCTCCCTATTCTGAACAAGGTGACCAAATCACAATCTCTACTGCCCCCAAAATTTCATTTTTCAGCTTCTCTTCTCTGTCACACCAAACTGCCCCCAGTGTTTTAAAGCATGCATCATAGTGGATCCCAGCTGTAAGTAGGAATAGAGAAGACTAAGCTCCAGTCCACGTCTTCTCTGTTTCAGGTAAGGAAAGGGCACCAAGTGAGCTAAGAGCCATAGAACAAAGTACAGAGGCCACCAGATAACTGTTTCGTAAGAAAACAGTGGGAGCTAAACCCAAGGATTTCCTGGCTCATGTTGGACAGTCTAGAGAGTGATGGCCTGTGTGTGGTATAGTATCACATATGTGGCTCTCTGTAGGGCCCTACCTGCAGCCAGGCAGAATGAGGGTAGGCTAGTGGGTTTATGCCCTTGGGTAAACTGGCTTTTGCAGTACCAGATATCTTTGAACAGCAGAGTCCAAGGCTCACATTCTCTACAGAACAGTGATTCTCCAGAATACCTACCCTCACAGTTGCACACAAGGGTCTCCTCAAGGAACAGATGATGACCCCAAAATATAGATCCACCCCAACCTTGGTTTCTGGCAGTTAGCAAGACATAGTTCTTTACGTTTTCCATAGTTCTCTATAGGAAGCCTATGTGTCTCAGGTTCATGCCTTTCCCAAACACCCGACCCTCTGCTATAGCCTCCAAAATTTATAGTACACCCTCAGCAGAAGTCTTTCTGTTTTCATCTTCCGCCACTGTTATTCTTCTCACACTAGCTGATGCCTAAGAGTCCTCCCTCCACTCCTCTTTTAAAACCCTGTAGTAACATTCATACACCTACTAACATTCTCCTTCCTCCATAGAAATTCATTGTTGTACTCTGAAGACCCACAGGGGTGGGCTTGCTGCTGCCTGACCTCTCTAGTTCCCAACTTCTCATCTTAGTCATCTCAGCTACTGCTGGTCTGCAGTGACAACCAAAGGGAGGCCCATCACTGAATCCCATGTCCCATGCCACCGATGCTACCTGTGTTTTCAGCTCACTCACTCTAATATCTGTATCCCATACCTTCTCTGTCCACACATGAACCTCCTATCCAAATACTGTCCCTGCTCCCCCCTCTTTCTGTTCCCAGCATGGACCACATCCAGTACCATGACCACACTCTCATAACCACACCTTTTATTCTTCCTTATGGCTGTCTGAGAAATTCTAAATCTGCAAAGTATGTTCCTTTATCCCTGTTTCTGGAGGTGAATGTGGCTGAAGAGAAGCACTGACAATGTCAATGGCTCCACTCAAGTGTCCAGCCTAATCTGAGTAGCTCCTTGAACTTCTGTTAGGCCATCTGCTCTTGGTAGGCCCTTGTCTCTCCTTACCACTTGAACCCACTGTAAGAAGGCCTCCCCCAATAAAGACCAGTGAAAACTAACCAGTTTATCAAAACTCAGACTACAGGTTGGCTCAGTTGGTTAAGTGCTCACTACATAAGCATGAGAAACTAACTTTGGATCCCCAGCACCCACATAAAAGCCAGATACAGAGGTACACATCTATAACCACAGCACTGGTGGGGTAGACAGGTAGATCCCTTGAGCTCATGAGCCAGCCCATTTAGCAAATTGATGAGCTCCAAGTTCCATGAGAGCGCCTGTCACAAAAATAAGATAGAGGGTGATTAAGGAAAACATTTGACATGGACCTCTGGCTTCTACATGCACATGCACCCACACATGGCACACACCCATATAAACAAATACATAACCACACGCACCCAAAAGCAAAAAAAAAAGTGAGGGGGGCAGAACTGGGGAGATGACCCCAGGACAAGAGCACTTCCTGCTCCTTCAAAGGAGAATTCAGTTCACAGCATCCACATCAGGGGGCTCACAACTGCCTTTGACTAGCTCCAGGGACCCTGACAGCCTCTTCTGGCCTCTGCAGTCTCTCTCTCTCTCTCTCTCTCTCTCTCTCTCTCTCTCTCTCTCTCTCTCTCTCTCTCTCTCTCTCACCCTCTCTCCCCCACACCCACACACACACACACACACGACACTCATACATACACATAAGAAAATCTTTTTTGGTTTTTTGGGTTTTTTTTTTTTTAAAGATAAGGTCTCCCTGGAGCCACAGCTGACCTGGAACTCACTATGTAAGCCAGGCTGGCCTTCATCTCACAGAGATCTGCCTGCTTCTGTCTCCCAAGTGCTGGAATTAAAGACATGTGCCACCACACCTGGGTTACATAAGTAAATCTTTTTTAAAAATTCAGATTCCAAGCAGGGCATGATGGCACACGCCTTTAACTCCAGCAGAGGCAGGCGGATCTCTGTGAGTTCAAGGCCAGCCTGGTCTACATAGTGAGTTCTAGGACAGCTGGAGCTACAGGGAGACCCTGCTTCAAAAAGACCAAAAAAAAAAAAAAAATCAGATTCCTGTATCCTTCTCCTAGAGATCCTGGTATAAGTAAGTTTTAGGCAGGGCCCAGGGCTTGCTCCTCCTCCTCCTCTTCTTCTTATGTATAATATGTAAATGGTGTATGTACTTATTCTAGTTCTCATGTGTGGACACTATTCATGTGCATGTGTGTGTATAGGCCTGAGGTTGACATAAAGTGTCTTCCTTAATCACTCATCCACCTTAGTTTTTGAGACAGGGTCTCTCATTAAACAGAGCTCACTGATTTGGCTATATTGACTGGCCAAAGAGTTTCAAGGAATACAACCAACCCCACACTATGCTCCCCTCAACACTGGAGTTACAGATGAGTGCCAGGTTTTACACCGGTGCTAAGGATCTGAGCTTAGGACCCCATGCTTGAGCACCAGGTTACTTTACTGATTGAGTCATCTCCATAGCCCTAGGAATTATACTTCTAACCAGTACCCAAGTGATTCATGATGCTTAAGCCACAAATAAGTAACTGGGCTGTAATTTGTAGCATGAACCCAGAGGACATGCTCCAGGCCCACAGATACCCCAACACAAGAATAACCTATTCACATCTCTAGCCCCAAGATCTGTGCAGTGTGTCTCAACTCCCTTTTCACTCATGCATGCAGGACTCTTATACTTCCAATCTCAGAGGGAGTTTTCTAATCACACTTAGAAAATTCCAGAGTATGGTTTTCTTTTTTCTTCTTTAATCAGGTCAGCTCTACCTTTAAGTTAGGCCAGTCCCACCAACTGCCCCACCTTCCCTATGCCACTGTCTCCCATAATGGCCTCCCTGCTCACTCTGAAGCCCCATTCCTAACTTTCCAAACAGAAGCCAGAACCAAACTATACATATCTAGTAGATCATTCCATGTTCCTGCTCCAAGGTCACCAGGGCTCTATACAATGAAGCCCCAGTCCACTGACCTCTTCCACCTAAATCAGTGTCTCCACTCATCACCTTATATACACTAGGTGGGCACTGTTTCTTTATACTCCTTCACCACAGTGGCCAGACACAAAGGAGCAACTGTCCCTCAAACTCTAACTGATAGGTAAAGTAGATGATGGATGAATCTGGTTGATTGGGAGAAAGCCCCAGGACACAGATAAAACTCCAGCGGAAGAGAGTTTATTAGCAAAAGAACACATGAGACAGATTCCCTTCCAGGCAGGGAAAATGTCTGCCCTGGGTCGTGACCTGGGGTCTTTTATAGGGGGAGGCTTCTGGGGGGTGCAGAAGGTGGGAAGATGTATTTTTTAAAAGTTAGGCTGGAGGGGTGGCAGGAGAGTGGGACTGTTAAAACCTGCTCCCTTCTGTCTGTCGGCCAGGATCTGGGTCAGGAAGTGTCTGTTTTTGTCCTCTTAAGATAAGGGAAAAACTGCTGTGCTGAAGCAGCTCCTGAGGTCTCTGGTTAAAAGGTGGAATCTGTTTATCTTGTCTTCGGAGACCAAAGGAAAAGCAAGCTGCCTTTTAGAAGAGTCTGCTTCTCTTGACTTCAAAGACCAGGGTGCTTATCAACTCGGTTCCCTTTTCTCAGGGGCTTGGGAGGTCCGTGAGGCCCTGTTGATGAGGGGGTGGGGCTATCTGAACCTTAATATTAACAATTTCTGCAAGTTAAGAAGGGGCCTCTCTCAGGTGTGGTAGCACAGGCCTTTAATCTCAGCACTCGGGATGCAGAGGCAAGGTGAATTTCTGTGAGATTGAGGTCAGCCTGGTCTACATAGAAAGTTCCAAGCCAGCTGGGGCTACAAGGAGACCCTGTCTCCAAAACAGTTAATGTGGCACCTGCTGAGAGAACAAAAGCCTTAAGTGTGGGCCTGGTATATAATGTGAACTGGGTCAAAGTCAGGGAACAACAGGAGATGTGAGGCGCTGAGGTGGGCTGAGACAAGTAGACATGGACACAGTAGCCAGGACTTACCAGAAAGGAACAAAGGAAGATGAAGGAGACAAAATAAAAGTAGGCAAAGTCGCTCCCACATTCACTGGCGTTGGCATAGGGGTCGCAGGCCCGGTTGCCCAGACAAGACAGCATGATCTCATGCCAAGCCTCCCCGGTGGCACTCCTGAGAAGGACAGAACTGTGAGCACACAAAGGCAAGCCCAGAGAGAACATCCAGCAAACCCAGAGATAAGCCAACAGTGTCCTTGGGACAGGTGGGTAGAGTGCAAACCCTTTTCCGGGCAAAGCCTGGGTGGCAGACTTCCAAATCAACCACTAAGAAAGCACTGGAAGTGGTCAAGTAAACTGGGAGCTGGCTCATGGTAGATACTCTTCTGAGGATACAACATGGTCTAGCACACTCCCAACTTCCTCCAGAACTCAATGGTCCTCATCTTATTCATGTCAAGAACCCTACCCAGCCTTCTCAAGTGAAAAATTCTGTGGTCAGTCTGGCTACGACTCAATGTTCTGCCATCAGTCCATCTGCCTTCAGAAAGTAGCACTGTTCTCCATTATCATAGTTGAGCTGTCCTGAGAGCTCCCAAGTAATCTCCTCCTCTGATCCACAGTATATAGGTTGGTCTTCTCACTTCTCTCAAAACCTTCCCACAACTCTTTTTACTAATGACAGAAGCCCACATTTACATGCCTGTCCCGTGTCTCAGAAAGTTGCAATCTGCCCCCCCCATCTTTACCTCCCTCCCTGCTCAGTCCATTCTCACAGTGGCTTCTACTCCTCAAATATCTTGCCCCACCCCCAGCAGCCACCTATGGGACTTTTGTTCCTAGACATATGGCCAGCATAGAAGTAGAAGGTCTATACATGTAGCCAGCCCTGGGCAGGAGCACAGACTACTGCCCACTGATGTCATCAGGATGGGGAGCTTCCTACAGGCTTGCTGCTCCACCTGAACCAGCATGATGACAAAAGAGCTTCTCATGACATAAAGCTCAGGAGGAACAGAAATCTTTGAGGACAAAGGTGTCAAACTGAAGCTGACTTCTTAAGTTTGCTCCAAATCTTTGCGGCCCAAGGCAGAATATTAATACATGATGAAATGAAATTAAGCTATCAGCTGAAGCCCAGAGAAACATGATTTAGGGGAGTATAATCCTGAAGATAAGCTGTCTACTGAAAACGCTCTTCAGGCACCTCAATGAAGCAGTTCTAGGTTGGTGTTCCCTCTTCTCCCAGGAACTGCAATGAGCCCAGGATACATCTACAAATTGGAGGGCCATTTCCCCCAGGGCTGGATAATGCATTTGTATAAGGGAACAGATGTGGTAAAATCTCAGGAGGGAGTCACAAGGTAGAGTCTAGTAGCATGGCTCACTATCAATCCCTACAAAGAGCTCATTTCCTCTGCCTGAAGCCATAGGTGGAAAAATAAAGAGACCAAGGAGGCAGGGAAACACACCACATCTCCATCCAGAGCCCAAGTTGTTTAATCAGAAGGGTGGCCATCCAGCCGATGAAGGATGTGCCGCACCTGAGAAGCCTGATCCTCAACACACCTGGAAAAGGGTGGAGGTATCTACAGGCCCTGAAACTTGTGCCACTAGAACTTAGGTGTCACTTGCTGCATTTCTGAAAGCATCCAGGAGTCTAGGAAACTACAGTTCTAGTGAGGGCAATGGGTGTAAGGCAGAGAATGGAGGCATGTTCAAATCACCAGTTCTGACCAGCTGGGTTCCTTTGGCCACTGAATGGTTGGCAAACTCTGTCAGAAGCTCTGCTTCTGTCACACACCAATTCAGGTGACAAATATGGAGAGCAGGTGCAAAGCGTGAGGCCAGCATGTTAAGAGGGACCCTGCCAGATACCTCCCTGACCTCCCAGACCACAGCATCTCCAGACACCTTTAGGCTATCACCAGGAAGAAGAGACTATGGTAGAGACTGGCTTGGCCCAGGGGCCCCAGATTCCCTCCCCTAGGAACTTCTTTTCAGTCTATCTGAAGGCCAGGGCAGACACCAAGAGCCCTTTGGTAAGGGTGAGCAGAGGGAAAGAACTGGAAAGGCCCACTGAAGAGAAGCAGCATGATTCTGGTATTGGAAAGGAGTAGTCTCCATGAGTGGCATCCACCTTTCTTTATCCCAAATGAAAAGAGAACATGTTCTCTAGGCTGACAAACAACATACCTGAACAACAGCATCAAGGCTTGTAGGAATGTCCGGAAGTTGTTGTGTCGGTTGATGCTGGTGTCATCATCGAGGGCAATGTTTCCAAAAACCTGAAATAGAGAAAAATGGCAATATACAAACACTGTAGATCTTGGGAGCTGTGATCAATAAACTCAGCAAGAGAAGTTACATATGCGATATAGGGGACCTCACGAGGGACAATGTTACCTGGGGCCAGTGTGGTTCCTGGCACAGATGATGACTTGGTGAACACACCCATGTCCCACAGCTTAGCACATGCAAGTTGGGGCTTTGAGGCTGCCCAGGGACACAAATCTGAACAACTGGGACAAATGGAGGAGGGGCTCTGCTATGAGTAGGCAAGTCTTTCAGGTCACTAGCTAATTCACGATTCCAAAACTGTAATTACTTTGGTAACAGGAGATCATAAGAAATGTTCCGAATCCCCTGTACAAAAAAAACACTGCAGGCTTTTATGTAATCTGATGGACTGTTTTCAGGGTAAGGAATGAAGAAGAGTGAAGAGCCATGCTGAGCCTGATACCTGGACTCTAGCTAAACATATGTGAACTGTGAAAGAAAAGTTCCCAAAAATGACTCTTGCACCTTGCGCTGAACTTCCTGCAAGACTGGCCAACTGATTATCACTCCAGAGATTATGGAGAGTTTGGAATGTTGCAGGTCCAGAGTCTAATTACCATTTATCTCAGGCCATCTTTAGCCTCCTGAACAGCTACTCCTTGCCCACCTCTGTTTCTGATCTAACATCCTGTGACTAACAGATAAAAAAAAGTTTTAGAATGTATTATCCTAGCAGACCACCAGGTCTCACCAACAAAAGGCTAAGAATGTCATCAGATAGCATCTGAGACCTATAGTAAAAATCTCCTGCTTTCCTGCGACCCACCTACTGAATGTATCCTCCAATGTATTTGAAGTTGTCTTGATTTATGACTTTTCTTTGTTCTGTTAATGTATAAACGTAAGGCAACCGTTGCCACGCTGGAACATGGAATTTGGGGTAACCTGTATCTGTGTTCCCAGGCCATGGTCATTCATATTTGCCTCTAGAATAAACTATCTCTTATCCCCTTTGAGGTGAGAGTTATGCTTTTGTGTCGACAGAACCATCAAGCCTCCACAAGGATTAGTGACACACATGCTCTTGTATAGTGACAGACCAAAGCATCAAAAATATGTATATTTGTTTTCAATAGCATCAAATTTCAGAAAATTTCAAATTGAAAAACTCCAACCTGAACTAAGTTTTAGAACTCAGCTAAAGTTCAAGACACTGGCACCTCCCATCACAAATTAATACTTGGCCCACTTCCTGTCTCCACTGTTAGGAAGTGGCTAAGGTTTACAGCTAGGATATTGCTTTACATGTTTTGAATGCCCGCCCCCACTGCTCCACCCCAAAGAGTACTCTTTCACAAAATTTTTAAAAAGGTACATTATTGTTAAGTACAGTGATCTGGTGGGATCCTGCCTACACTCTGCCCAAGAGTTCTTCAGGAACATTTAACCTCCTGTAAAGGGTGGAAGCTGCCCTTCAGACCGGCTGCCTACCAACACAATAACCCATCATGCAGCCACCAATCGAAGAACAAATGCAACAGCCTAAGCCATGCTAGGCCTGAGGGCCACCTAGCTCTCAAGAACATTGCCATATGACTTCCCAGAGAAATGGGAGTGAGCAAAGGGCTTGCTGACAGCCCAACCTGTGGTATCTTGGTTTCTTCCACCACAAAGCAGTGCTTCTGAGGATTTGTTTACTCAGTGCTTACACCAATATCTGGCTCACAGTAACTGATCATTTCAGCTTATTATTATCATCATTGATATCCTTTTAAAAAATCTGGATGATCCTTTTTTTTAAGGAATATAAAACTACTTACTGACCACTGTTCACCATTATTTACAATAAAGTAAACAATATACAGTTGGATAACATTCTGATACTACAAAGTTTTTTTCCTGGCTGCTGTTTGAACCAGTAACCCAAATTCTGAAAAGATTAAGTCTACCAGTAAGGAATGAATCAGGGTTAAGAAAAAGCATGCAGGTCAATAATTTGTATTACCAAATTTTATTCATTCATCCATGTCAACAGTCCTAATATCGTCAATATCTCTAACCATAATTGCATTTCCATGAGCTTAGATGTTCCATGAATCATAACCTTTTAGTACAGATTTCAACTTACTGAAAAGGAATGGCTCACTAGAGGAAACTAGAAGAAAATCCATTTAAGTCTTATTAGCTAATTAAAACAAACTATTTGTCTAGTTTCTTTGAGTGTAAGAATTGGGTTAGTAGCAACAAATTTTGAAAATAAACTGCATTTATGTGAAAATATACATAAATTCTCATGTGGCTGCTTTTTAAAATTATCCAACCTCAACTGTCCACTAACTATATAATCACCTATTTAATTTGGAAGGTTACGGCTTCAGGAAAATTTTCAACTGAACCAAAGTGACTTCTTCAGTTGTTCACAATGATAGAATCTCATCAGAGTGTGTTAGCACCCATGGTTTTTGTTTTGGTGAACTATTAAAAAAGACAAACAAACCAGTCACGTTAAGTATTTTATGCATATACACACATATAAACAAAACCAGAATGGTCCTTTTGCATCCCAGTTAAAAATAAGTTCTGACATTTATAGAAAAAGCTGTTCTTCAATGCAGAGGAAGATACAGCATGGCATCAAATATCCTACAGTTAAAGGAAGCAACTACAGAAAGCTTTTATTTGCTCAAAGTAACCAGTGCTTTCTAATGCAAAACAAAAAACCAAAAACACCCCAACAACTATCGATACT